CTCTCTCTCTCTCTCTCTCTCTCTCTCTCTCTCTCTCTCTCTCTCTCTCTCTCTCTCTCTCTCTCTCTCTCCCCCCCCCCTTTTGCTCTCTCCCTTCTTCCCTCCTTTCTCTGCCCATTCTGTTTGTGTCTCTGTCTGCATGGTGCAGACCAGCAGCTGGAAAAGATAAATAACAGAAAAGAAGAAGAAGAAGAAGAAGAAGAGGAAGAGGAGGAAGAAGAAGAAGAAGAAGAAGAAGAAGAAGAAGAAGAAGAAGAAAGGGGGGAAAGGACAAATGCCCCAATATCAAGGGAGGACAACACAAGAGCAGAAGGAATAAGAGGAGTGTGCCATGGTATCAGGGGGCTTGTGGCGCTAATTTTGAGTCTTTCAGTACTTGTCTTCCCTTTCCAATGCACGCTCTGTTTTTGTGGGTTTCCATGTCATGCACTTCTCTATGCTCTGCAGTGTCTGTGACTCCACGTATCTCCACGTTTGATTCTTTTTCATCTGTGGCTTTAAAGTTCAACCCCTACTCCGGAAATATTTGCACCGCATGTTGAATATGCATGCACAACTTAGATGGAGTTTGCATGGAATAAAAGGACAGAATTGAAGTGTCTGTAGTTCATGATTTGTTGTGCAGTTTGCGAGCTTATGTCCTGCCTAAAGTGCAGCCGTGAATGGGGTTTGGTGTGGGTGGAGGGATGACACGGAGAAGGGGTGTGCACCCTTGAACATGCCTGAGAGTAAGTGGGGGGGTGGAAGGAGGGGTTTTGCAGGGTGGCCACTGACGAGAGGGTACGAGGGAGGGAACGAGGGAGTGAGGGAGGGAGGGAGGGAGTGAGTGAGTGAGTGAGTGAGTGAGGGAGGGAGTGAAGGAGGGGGGAAGAACTTGTGGGCATGCATTTGGCAGGCCTCTTTCATCAGCAGGTTGGTTTCGAAACAGTACAGTATTTCTCATCTGCAGTTTTGTTTTGTACACAGGCAAGGAGTTTGAAACACTACATCTTCACTTCTGCATTCAGGACTATTGTTAGATCAGAGCACAACTGTTGGATGAAAATGGTGTGAGCCATTGGATGAAATGGAGTGGTGTGAAATGCGCCACCCAGGAACATAGTGCAGGAGTTGTACTCAGTGAGGGCTAGAATAGACTCGGCCATTTCTGTGCCTGGCTGATGTGACGTAGGGACGTCAGTTTCATCATACTTGAGAAGATCAGTGCGGTCAGCTTCTTGGCCATCCAGGGGGTGGTCCAGTGCCGTGCCTGGAGGTGGTGCAGATCTCGCATGGCAACAAAGATGGCAGTGCATGTTGCTCTTCCTGTGCACTTGCCGCTGAATCGTTCAGGTACAGCTCGGGAGTTCGACGTGCGCTCGTCTTTGACTGTGTCTGATCTCACTAACGCAGCGGTCTACAGCAAACGAGCATGCTCTACGATCTCGCTATCGCAATGGCAGTCGCCCACGAAGGTGGCTATTTGCAATCCTGAAGGAAGCCGAAGCCGAACGTTGCACAGAATGAAGTCTGTCAGTTGGTTGAACAAGGGTTGTCCTGGGTGTTCGACCTTCACAGTTGCTGCCAGCAGAAGAGAATGTCACCGATTAGCTGTATCACCAGGTATGGGTAGACGCACAGACAGAGGGAAAACCCGGACAAGGTCTGTGCGCCTTTCATATCCCTCAGTGGCGAAAGCCGATCCCGTAATGCACATGCGGTCGAGCCGCCAATCGGCCCCAATGATGCCATCTGCTGTTGCTAGGAACGAGCTTGTTGCTGCCGTAGGAGAGCAATCCGAGAATGAGGACGGTAAGAAGGAGACGGTGACAAGTCGTGTGCTTGCGAATGCTGCATCAAAAACAGCAGCAGCAGCTATGGCAGTCGCTGTTGCCATGGTTCTCAATTGTGCTGGAGGGCCGGCTCTGGCTCGACCGGAAGGAGTCAATCGACCCGATCTGCTTCCTCCGGGAGGCTCGCCGATCATCGATATCGCAAACTTCCTGTCGCCTTATCAAGAGACACGAATCAGGGACCAACTTGAGAAACTGGAGCGCGACACCGGGTTCAGACTACGCGTTCTTGCGCAGAACTATCCAGAGACTCCTGGCCGTGCCGTGAAGAAGTACTGGGGGGTGGATGAGTACACTATCGTGTTTGTGGCTGATCCAAACACAGGTAACATCTTGAATTTCAACGTGGGGAGTGCTGTCGACCTCAACGTTCCACGAAGTTTCTGGAGCCGGCTGCAAGGAAAGTATGGAAATATATTCTACTGGAGAGAGAAGGGGGAAGATGCAGCAATTGAAGCGGCTGTTTCGGCCATTGACAATTGCCTCCGTGAACCACCTGGGCCAACGGCCTGCGCAGTTATAAACGGACCTGCTTAAAGAGGGTAGGGACCTTTACAAAAAGGCAAGGTGCTAGTGACTGAGAGCACTCTTAGGTATTGCAAAGAGAAGGTGTCACATCAGTTGCATGCAGTGGCAGCAATGTGACCATTCCTGGGGATAAACATTGTTACCCAGGATTCTATTTATTCATTTATTTATTTTTACCCAGGATTTTCTTGGTGGGTAGACGGAAGTTTGGGGAAGGTTGCTTGGGGAAGCGTGGTGCTCCGTAGTCTGAAAAGATTAGTTCTCCCCGCAACTGGGCGCCGCCCTCCCCCTCCGCCTCCCGTCAGGATCAGTACAGGTGGGATAGGATTTCTGGGTGTCATAGGAGTGGAGAAGAAGAGGAAGCAGTGGAGAAAGAGAGGAGAAGGAAAGAGAAAGGAGAAGGAGGTGAGAAGAACAGGAAAAAGAGAGGAGAAGAGGAGAGGGTGTGGACACAGTAATCCTTTTTTTTTGTTTGAGTTCCGTAGTGTCCAGTTCAGATTGAGCTTTCCAGTGTCTTGTTAGTTTGGCATTTGAGATGCCATGATGCCAGTCTCATGACAGGGACTGCACTTGTTTCAAGCTTCTTGTTAGTTTGGCACTTGAGCTTTCAATGTTCAGATCAAAGATGGTTTGTGAATCGTTATAGATCGTCTGCTAATTGTTAGACAAGAAAGGGACTGACATGGATCCCAACAGGCCAGTCTCATGACAATGTGCCAATTTTAGATATGCATTTTAGGTGTTGCCTGGCATTCGGGTTGTTGGTGGAGGAGGATGTGCATGGGGAAATCATGCTGAATTATAGATTATGGGAAGAAAAAGGGGGAATAAGCAACGAAGGTATTGGTTGTTACAAATTCTCACAAAAAAAACGGGCATGAAAAAAAGTGTCGTTCTTTTCATCTGATTTGAATTTCCTTGCCAAAGTCTGCACACTGAGATCGTGCAATTGCTCACTTTGTCGTTTTTGTCCCCTGTTTCGTTTTTTGGTCCACGAGAGTATGACTATCGACCTCCTATTCCCAGCTCCTTCTCACCTTTTTTTTAATGAAAAAAGATAGTAAAAATAGCACGTAACGTTGTAAACAAAACGGAAAGAAAAAAAGAATGGGCAATGGACAGTCTGTATCGCTATGAAAACTAAGGGTAGTATGGCTATTCAGTGTCTGTCTGCCTATTAAACTGCCTGCAGCTCTTGTGTAATATGTTCATGCTACATACTTCTGGGTGCTAGTAAAAGTCTGATGGTTCATGACTGTTGAAGTGTTGTCTTTTTTTTTTGTCATCTTCATTTTTACCCTTGTACTGGCTGATATTAGCTCTGTGATTCTCTCTTTAACATAGCACCAGCTGGAGTCGTCACACACACACACACACACACACACACACACACACACACACACACACACACACACACACACACACTCTGTGTGTGTGTGTGTGTGTGTGTGTGTGTGTGTGTGTGT